TTACAGACGATCAAAGCTTCACTTCTTTTTTCAGGTTCGTCGCTTTCTGCAGAAACGACGAGCAGCTAAGGCCCCGCCCATCCCGCCTTTCTGGATTGGTCGTAATGGTTTGACTGACAGCAGGAGAGTGGAGCTTAAGAGACAGGTGGAGGAGTACATCTCTCTTCATCCGGTAAGAAAGTCTTTAATCTGATAATCATCAGAATTATTACCCATGATGCTTTGAGTTCTACTTACAGTGTGTGTGTGTGTGTGTGTGTGTGTGTGTGTGTGTGTGTGTGTGTGTGTGTGTGTGTGTGTGTGTGTGTGTGTGTGTGTGTGCGCCCAGTCGTCTCGTGTGTCTCCTCAGGAGTGTGAGCGTCTCCATGAGGAGGTGCAGCTGCTGATTGTGTCGGAGCTGCGGCGGGGGAAGCAGCAGAGGAGGGAGGAGGAGCGGATGGAGGCTCTGCTGGCTCACACACACACACAGCTGGAGCTGCTCAGAGGTCTCACACACTCCTCCTCCATCCTTATTTCCTTTCCTTTCTTCCTCTTGTTCTTCTAGCAGGAAACAGACACTCGTCTTGAATGACCATCTGTGAGTCCTTGTGTGCTAAGAGCCACCTGCAGTCCTCCTATTGGTCCACAGAGTCCACTATGGGGGCGGAGTCTGAGAGTTTTCTTATTCTGCTGTTTAATTATGTGTTGTTTTTTCCTCATATTTATTTCATGCAGATTGTGATTTGTTCCCATTTAAAGCAGTCCCTTCAATACAGCTTTGGGCATCACTGTCCCCCTCTCTGTCCACAGATGCCCCGCCCCTCTCTGCTGTCACGGCGACTGATGCAGAGTCCTTCCTCAGCCCGTCAGGTCCCATCGCCACTCGCGCCCGTGACGCCCACAATGCAACGCTACAGGCGAGCAGGCTGCCCTGGTGGAGGACGCTCGTAGACACCACTGCTGAGGACATGTTTAGCCCCGCCCACCTGCAGGAGCTGGAGGCGGAGTTTGGAGGACTGTTTGTGGGAGGCTCAGCGGGAGTCGTGAAACTCTGAGGTGGACAGACTGAACGTTTGAGTGACTGATCTGAGTTCAGTTCAAGGTTCAAAACCGGATGTTGTTGAAGGATGCAGACGGTCCCACCGCTGGTCGCTGTGAACGTGAGCATCAGAACTGCACATGTTTGACACTTTGTTGAACCTGTCAGGTATATCAGAGCTCATGTGGCTCTTAAGATCGTCTCTGAAATGTTTCCGTCCTGTGACTTCAAACTTTTATTGTAGAACATTTGATGCAGAGACGAGAACTCTGAGGTTTAGAACCAGCAGCTGATTGGACGCTGGTTCCTATGTTTGAATAATCTAACAGTGCTAATGTATTAATAATAAAGTAATTAGTTTAATAACAAAGCCCTATAACTACCTTTGTAGAATCATTTTGCATGAAACATGAATCAATATGTTTTTGTAAAACTTGAACATGTGATTGGAGCTGACAAAGACACTCGATCAAAACAAAAGATGACGTCGAGGCTGCCGGGGAATCATGGGAGTTCTCTCTGCTACTCCGCGTGCCTCGATGAAAAGTACAGCAGCTCTCACTTCCTCATGCAGCGGCCTTTGATGCAACATCCGGTGTTTCCACGGCAACGATAAACTGAAGGATTTCTCTGGCTTTGAGAAGTGTTGGAAATATGTGAGGTAATGTAAAAACAACTCAACAACATTTAAACAAAATGAAATAGGTGTAGTCCCCTGTGACCTTTGTTGTCAGATATTATCAGCATCTTAAAGTTTATCAAAGTTTGTCTCTGAGCAGCAGGAAGCTCTGAGCGATGTCATCATGAAGTTTGAGCTCCGAGTGAACGTCTGCAGGTGAGACTCGTACAGGTACAGATCAGACTCATACTCTGAGATGTTTAAATGGTAATGACCTGTAGCAGCCAGCAGGGGGAGCTCCTTCCTCACCACAGCTGTCAGTGTTTGTTTTCCTCTGTGATGACATGTTTGACACATCACAGCCTCAGCCTCCACTCTGATGAGTTCACTCTGTTAGTGATCAAAAGTTCATCACTAACATGTCTTACAACGTTACATTTGACCTTTTCTTTTCTCAGACGTAAAGGAGCATGTTTACATTTAGAGGTAAATGAAGCTGCTCCGACGTGTGCTGTGATGTCACACATGGCTCGGAGGTCTATGGATGGCATGTATTGATCAGTGATCAGAAGTGTACAGGACAGTACGAGCTGAGCTGATGTTACATAAGCAGCTGTCTGTGTGTGTGTGTGTCAGAGAATCAGCTGTAAGAGAGCAGCGCTGGAGTCGAGCAGGTAGGAGCTCACACACACACACACACACACACTGACCTTTACTGCCATGTTTAAGAATTCATCCTAAACTTCAGTGTCAGCATTTTATTTGAACCTTCATAAGGAAAAAGTGTTGCACCTTTATTTATCTGACAGCTGCCGATGTTTGCAGGTTGAACATATTTACTGTGCTCATGTTCTACAAACTAATACATGATTATGTTCTTGATGCATGTTGAAGCAGCATTTCACTGCCTGAGCTCATTTGAATCTTTTATTTAGAAATAACTAATGGTGATTGTTTTAATTCTGCATTCATCAGCTGATTTGTCAAAGTTGTGGAAACAGCGAGACGTCACAACGAGCCGGCGCTCAGAGGGACACGTGTTCTGAGAAAACCTTTAAATCCTCTTATTGTAAAAACATGAAAATAATTTCAATGAGTCAAAGAAAACGCAGCAAATGAATGAAGAGTTGACGCTCTGTTTGAACATTTGTTCATGTTAAAGTGAAAGCGGTGTTTTTCCTCTAAGATCGAGGGTGTGATAAAAGAACAGAAACACTTTAGTTTGGTGACATGTTGATGTGCTTCAGATTGTCAAACACTAGTTTATAGGAATAAAGACTTAAAGAATAATCAAAAGTCTTCAGCTCCTCTGCAGAGCAGGTGTTCTTACATTAGATTCTAAAACAGTAAATCCCATCACACACTGAGCTGTAAGCTTGGGAAGAATCAGAAAGGCTAGGCCAAAGTGAGGCCACAAAGTGGTGTTGAAATGCATCAGAATCCCCCAGGAGGATCTGGAAATCGTCTCTGGGGAGAGGGGAGTCTGGGTTGACTTACTTTGCCTGCTGCCATCGCGGCCTGACCTCAAATAAACGCAAGAAAATGTCTGGATGAGAATCAGAAGGATTTAAGAAAAGTGTGTGAAACTTTTGCTCCGAGCAGTAACTGTACAAACTTTGAATCCCTCCCCGAGCGCTGAGTACCTGCCGGCTCCCAGATGAAGGGGTTAAGACTCAGCGGCGTGTTTGGAGGCAGGAGGTGGAGAAAAGGTTTCTCAATCTAATCCTGATTTTCTACTTTCACCTCCTTCATTCCTTCTCTCCAGGACGCGGCGACCTGCACCTTCCATCGCTCCGTGCCTCAGCTTTTCTGTCTTCCTGTCAGCATCGAGATGCCGGGGACTCTTCCTAGGTTTCCCAGCATGCAGCGGGGGATGACCATGCCCTCCTTGTTCAGGGGTGTCAGCACTCCCAGTCTGCCCAGTTTACCCCGAGGCCTCACCATGCCTAGCATGCCCAGTTTTCCCAGCATGCCCAGTCTACCCCGCGGCATCACGGTGCCCAGTTTTCCCAGCCTGCCTAGGGGCATAACTGTTCCCAGTTTTCCCAGCATGCCCAGTTTACCACGAGGCATCACCGTACCCAGTTTACCCAGTTTACCCAGAGGGATGTCGCTGCCGAGGTCCGTTGCCATGTCGACCGTATCTCAGGCTCCTCGGAGGCTGCTGCAGGACTGCTGCTCTGTGCTGGACCACCAAACACCAGGAGGTATCACTCTGACTTTTTTTAATGATCCCAAAATGTACTGCAGGTTATAACTTAACTATATGACTTATAACTTGACTATTTTTTGTTTGCATTAAATTTTTATTTGTCAGAGTTGACTCTGACTGCCACCCCAAATAAAACCTTGTCAAACCTGCTACAAGGTGATGCAGGTGATGGTATAACTTATTGTCAGGTGATGTTCTAACTTACTGTCAGGTGATGTTCTAACTTACTGTCAGGTGATGTTCTAACTTATTGTCAGGTGATGTTCTAACTTACTGTCAGGTGATGTTCTAACTTACTGTCAGGTGATGTTCTAACTTACTGTCAGGTGATGTTCTAACTTACTGTCAGGTGATGTTCTAACTTACTGTCAGGTGATGTTCTAACTTACTACAGGTGATGTTCTAACTTACTACAGGTGATGTTCTAACTTATTGTCAGGTGATGTTCTAACTTACTGTCAGGTGATGTTCTAACTTACTACAGGTGATGTTCTAACTTATTGTCAGGTGATGTTCTAACTTACTGTCAGGTGATGTTCTAACTTATTGTCAGGTGATGTTCTAACTTACTGTCAGGTGATGTTATAACTTACTGTCAGGTGATGTTCTAACTTACTGTCAGGTGATGTTCTAACTTACTGTCAGGTGATGTTCTAACTTATTGTCAGGTGATGTTCTAACTTACTGTCAGGTGATGTTCTAACTTACTACAGGTGATGTTCTAACTTATTGTCAGGTGATGTTCTAACTTACTGTCAGGTGATGTTCTAACTTATTGTCAGGTGATGTTCTAACTTACTGTCAGGTGATGTTCTAACTTACTGTCAGGTGATGTTCTAACTTACTACAGGTGATGTTCTAACTTACTGTCAGGTGATGTTCTAACTTACTACAGGTGATGTTCTAACTTACTGTCAGGTGATGTTCTAACTTACTACAGGTGATGTTCTAACTTACTGTCAGGTGATGTTCTAACTTACTGTCAGGTGATGTTCTAACTTACTGTCAGGTGATGTTCTAACTTACTGTCAGGTGATGTTCTAACTTACTACAGGTGATGTTCTAACTTATTGTCAGGTGATGTTCTAACTTACTGTCAGGTGATGTTCTAACTTACTACAGGTGATGTTCTAACTTACTGTCAGGTGATGTTCTAACTTACTGTCAGGTGATGTTCTAACTTATTGTCAGGTGATGTTCTAACTTACTGTCAGGTGATGTTCTAACTTACTACAGGTGATGTTCTAACTTATTGTCAGGTGATGTTCTAACTTACTGTCAGGTGATGTTCTAACTTACTGTCAGGTGATGTTCTAACTTACTACAGGTGATGTTCTAACTTATTGTCAGGTGATGTTCTAACTTACTACAGGTGATGTTCTAACTTACTACAGGTGATGTTCTAACTTACTGTCAGGTGATGTTCTAACTTACTACAGGTGATGTTCTAACTTACTGTCAGGTGATGTTCTAACTTATTGTCAGGTGATGTTCTAACTTACTGTCAGGTGATGTTCTAACTTATTGTCAGGTGATGTTCTAACTTACTACAGGTGATGTTCTAACTTACTACAGGTGATGTTCTAACTTACTGTCAGGTGATGTTCTAACTTACTACAGGTGATGTTCTAACTTACTGTCAGGTGATGTTCTAACTTATTGTCAGGTGATGTTCTAACTTACTGTCAGGTGATGTTCTAACTTACTGTCAGGTGATGTTCTAACTTACTACAGGTGATGTTCTAACTTACTGTCAGGTGATGTTCTAACTTATTGTCAGGTGATGTTCTAACTTACTACAGGTGATGTTCTAACTTACTGTCAGGTGATGTTCTAACTTACTGTCAGGTGATGTTCTAACTTACTGTCAGGTGATGTTCTAACTTACTACAGGTGATGTTCTAACTTACTACAGGTGATGTTCTAACTTACTGTCAGGTGATGTTCTAACTTACTACAGGTGATGTTCTAACTTACTACAGGTGATGTTCTAACTTACTACAGGTGATGTTCTAACTTACTACAGGTGATGTTCTAACTTACTGTCAGGTGATGGTATAACTTATTGTCAGGTGATGTTCTAACTTACTACAGGTGATGTTCTAACTTACTACAGGTGATGTTCTAACTTACTGTCAGGTGATGGTATAACTTATTGTCAGGTGATGTTCTAACTTACTACAGGTGATGTTCTAACTTACTGTCAGGTGATGTTCTAACTTACTGTCAGGTGATGTTCTAACTTACTGTCAGGTGATGTTCTAACTTACTGTCAGGTGATGTTCTAACTTACTGTCAGGTGATGTTCTAACTTATTGTCAGGTGATGTTCTAACTTACTGTCAGGTGATGTTCTAACTTACTACAGGTGATGTTCTAACTTACTACAGGTGATGTTCTAACTTACTGTCAGGTGATGTTCTAACTTACTGTCAGGTGATGTTCTAACTTACTGTCAGGTGATGTTCTAACTTACTACAGGTGATGTTCTAACTTACTGTCAGGTGATGGTATAACTTATTGTCAGGTGATGTTCTAACTTACTGTCAGGTGATGTTCTAACTTACTGTCAGGTGATGTTCTAACTTATTGTCAGGTGATGTTCTAACTTACTGTCAGGTGATGTTCTAACTTACTGTCAGGTGATGTTCTAACTTACTGTCAGGTGATGTTCTAACTTACTGTCAGGTGATGTTCTAACTTACTGTCAGGTGATGTTCTAACTTACTACAGGTGATGTTCTAACTTACTACAGGTGATGTTCTAACTTATTGTCAGGTGATGTTCTAACTTACTGTCAGGTGATGTTCTAACTTACTACAGGTGATGTTCTAACTTATTGTCAGGTGATGTTCTAACTTACTGTCAGGTGATGTTCTAACTTATTGTCAGGTGATGTTCTAACTTACTGTCAGGTGATGTTATAACTTACTGTCAGGTGATGTTCTAACTTACTGTCAGGTGATGTTCTAACTTACTGTCAGGTGATGTTCTAACTTATTGTCAGGTGATGTTCTAACTTACTGTCAGGTGATGTTCTAACTTACTACAGGTGATGTTCTAACTTATTGTCAGGTGATGTTCTAACTTACTGTCAGGTGATGTTCTAACTTATTGTCAGGTGATGTTCTAACTTACTGTCAGGTGATGTTCTAACTTACTGTCAGGTGATGTTCTAACTTACTACAGGTGATGTTCTAACTTACTGTCAGGTGATGTTCTAACTTACTACAGGTGATGTTCTAACTTACTGTCAGGTGATGTTCTAACTTACTGTCAGGTGATGTTCTAACTTACTGTCAGGTGATGTTCTAACTTACTGTCAGGTGATGTTCTAACTTACTACAGGTGATGTTCTAACTTATTGTCAGGTGATGTTCTAACTTACTGTCAGGTGATGTTCTAACTTACTACAGGTGATGTTCTAACTTACTGTCAGGTGATGTTCTAACTTACTGTCAGGTGATGTTCTAACTTATTGTCAGGTGATGTTCTAACTTACTGTCAGGTGATGTTCTAACTTACTACAGGTGATGTTCTAACTTATTGTCAGGTGATGTTCTAACTTACTGTCAGGTGATGTTCTAACTTACTGTCAGGTGATGTTCTAACTTACTACAGGTGATGTTCTAACTTATTGTCAGGTGATGTT